CCTATGACACCCGGAAAATTTGTGTGAATGAAATACCTGGTAAAATACGATTGCATTTTAATTTTACACATAGCAAAAATTATAGTATATTTATTATAAGTTTTAAATGCACTTACATTAAAATTGATATACTTTTAAGATAATTATGAAATTGTATTTTTTAATTATAACTTACGTTTGCTGAATAGTTTGAATCTCATCATGTTCTGTAGGGAATGTTATCCATTGTGGCATTATAGCATTTAATGCATGTATAATTTGATGTATTGCTCCACTAACGGATGATTGACACATACAACTTAGGAAGTCCTGCCCAATTCTCCTCTGATAGGAACCTGAGCTTAAAAAGCTTAAAGTTGCTAAAAGCTTTAAAATAACAAAAAAAATTAATTTAAATATAACTATTTTAAAATATCAATACTATAATAAATAATGAAAGCTGGTTTTACATTAGACACAAGCTAATTGCAAACTTGCTACAACAGCAATCTGAAGCGTTCATTTCAAAATGCTTCAAATTGGCTGTTGCAATAATTTTGTGATCAACCTGCATCCAATGTAAAACCAACATAAGGAAATCTAAAATTTTAATTCATAATAGTATTTCTTTATATGCAATTTTACCTTCAGTTCTAATGGAATTGCTGTTAATCGTATTGCTACTTGCATATGAGGCTGTATAAAATCGCGTAATGCTAATGTAGCATCTTTTGTTAACCTGTGTATTTAATATCTTGTTTAAATTGTTCCATAAACATTTAAATAATATACAAACCATCAATATATTCTGTTTTCCTTTACTTATTTATATTGAATAATATTATAAAAGAGCCGGGGCATAAACCTTTGCATAATGCATAATTTATAAACAGAGATTCATCCAATTACAGTCTTTTTTTTCTATGAAATAAAGAACTGATTAATTATCTTATGCATTATGCATGCTTTATGCATTATGCAATGGTCTACGTTTCGGCTTTATTTATTAAAGTATAATTTTACTTACCGATATAAATGAATAAATTGCGATTCTAAAATTTCAAATGGATTACTTGCATCACGTAATTGTCTTCTTCGAATTTTCAGCATATTTCTTTCTTCTTCTTCTGCAAGTTGCAGCAACCACCAAGCTGCAGCCATGTTATGCCAATATATGCTAAATTAAAAATCCATAAAAGGTTTTTATTATGTATAAGAATAAAGCAAGGAGCACAGACTCTTGCATAATACATAACACATAATACATAAGAAAATGAACCAATTAAAGTCTTTTATTTCCTTCTTTTCCATGAAATAAAGGATACTGATTGGTTGATTTTCTTATGCCTCATGTTTTATGCGTTATGCGAGAGCCTGTGCTTCCCATCTAAGAGTGGAACAAATCAAATCCAAAATAATATGATGCATCATTATTCTTGTTCATCGAATGTTAAAGATAAATGATGCACTATGCACATCACATGAAATTCATTTCCAGTCATTTAATATGTATACAAATAAGTAATATTATTCAAATTCTAATAATTATGCATGTAAACATAATGTATTGTACAAAATAAATATACTATGTATTTACATATATTTTTATTTTTCTTGAGATTTAATTGTTAGACTGCATCGAATAAATGCACTCTACAATATAAGTCTCAAGAAGAAAATATATGTAAATAAAGACTTGTTTAATTTTTACAATATATTATGTTTAGAAACACAATTACCGGAAATTAGATAATATTGTATTTGGGTAATTATGAAGGAGACGGTCGACCTCATCGATTTTAATATTAGGCTCGATTTTAATATTCGATGCGTTTTTGCACGAAATCAACGAATCTGGCAGAAAAAAGTGTCGCTCTGCCTCGCGAGCAGAGATATTAAGCGTTAAAATTGACGACTATTGAGGTTAGGAAATCTGTCATAGCGCTACATGTAGTTGGTAAAATTTGATATAGTTTTTATTATTTTTCAATATCAAATGCTCACTTATTAAAATAATTCATATAATACACACATATATGTATACAAGACAATATAGGTATTCTTCTTCTTCTTCTTATTTGTCCTTGTTTGGTTTTCCAACTCAACGATGTAGGTATTACTGGATCACTGCATCATAATTCCCCATATTTCCACCTTTCCGCTCACCAATTTCATGGCTAAAAAGTTCACGCGAAAACTTTCACGTTTCCGTAGTTTGAAAGTAACATGGGGTGCTTTCCAGCAAGGGACACAGTCAGACACAGTGTAACACAGTGAATCATACGTCCTTGTTGTTTGCTTACGTTAAACAAGGATGAAACGATTCACTGTGTTACACTGTGTTTGATTGTGTCCTTGCTGAAGAGCACCCATGATCGCTCAGTTCACGTGAAAGTTTTCACTTTTCACGATTCCGCCCTAGGGAAAAGTTACATGATCGCTACCCTGCTCACAATAGTCAGGGCGACTAATTCCGTTTTCTGATTGGTTGAAGAGCGTCGTACGATGAAAATCGGATACAGTGTGAATCCAGCATTTGGTTTCTAGGCAAAACGAGTTAGCAACACTGGCTCCATCTATCTTATAAGTCTATGGTCTTTATCGGTTAATTTATGGTCTGGCAAGAAAAGGATTGTCAAAAGCAAAAATTGTAAACCTTAAATGTGTTTTTGTAACTTGTTTAGATTTTGGATTTCCGAAAAATATTGAATGAGACAAACGTGAAATGGCAACAGAAAAAGATTTGATAAATGGTATTTAATCATGTAAATATTGTATATTTATAAATATTTTACAGTCAAGAAAATTACGAAATGATTGACATGTATAAAATCTATCATCCCTATTTTCGTATCACGACAGTAAACTATGATTCGAGCAATAACGTTTTGTACTATTTTGTATAGGAAATATTTTTATTTTTTCATTCTTTTATCGCTTACACACTTTCTATTCATTTATTGTATTATAATATATCTGATTAAAGATTTTCTTATTAGCATTCATTGTGTATCTGTGAAATATAAAAGACAATTCTTTACTTATATTTTGAATTTGTAGCTGTACGAGAATCCCTAAAGGCCGATGGAAATCTTGATCGAATAAAAGCGGAAATGCGTACAGAAGTAATAAAATTGCTCGATTATTCTAGCAAGGAGAACAAATCAAATACTATAAAACCTTCACACGATATTGTTTTTCTCAATGAACTTGTCCGAGAATATCTGGATTGGATGGGTTATAAGTATAGCTCCACTGTATTTATCGCAGGTATATTACTTTATGGAATATATGATATATACACATATACTCATTGATATAATCATTGTATATCATTATATTAATTAGCTTGAATATAATGGACTATATAAAGTGTCAGATAATTTTTTTTCTTGAACGAAATCTCATGTGCGGATAAGGTAATATGATTGAACAAAAGATGTTATTTCAGAATGCAATCTTCCCAAACATTGCTTGGATCGTAAACTTCTGGCACAAGGTTTAGGAGTAAAAGATAGCGGAAAGAGCAAAAATTTACCGCTGTTGTGTGGTCTTATACAAACATTTACCAATTTAAAAAATACCTAATTATAAGATCTACACGAGCATGTATTGAACTGCGATTTTTAATTACTATTTATTCATTTCCTATATATTTATATATGTTACAAATCTCACATTTATTTTATATGTACAAACATAAAAACATGCATAAGATTAGATATATACAGATTATATTTATTACAATAAATAATAAAAACCAAACACAGTACTTAAATCCCATCTGTAACACATGGCAACTTTGTTAGTAATAACAAAGCTGTATTACATAATGTAACATATAGCATGATGAACGCCAAGTCGACATCTTTTTTTTTATTTCTATATGTTCATGTGAGACACAAGAATATGTTAAAAGAATTTTATCATTTTATTTTTCGTGATTTTTCTTACATATTGACATTAAATTATGAAAGAACAATATAATGGTGAAAGAGGAAGGGAAAGCAATATATATGTATATAGATAGTAGAGATCTTAAAATTGCTCTTTTATACTCATTATATAATTGTAGTTGTTTAAAGACTTACTGCTTCTTGACAAAATTGCCACAAAATTATATCGGCTACAATGTATACATGGCTTATTATAATATATAAACTTACATAGCAATACTTTTTAATATATTAAGTCAGAACATGACAATTATGCAAAGGCTATATCATGTTATTCTTTTCCTCTTTTTTTTTTTTTTTTACGTTAGAACAGTTTAACTATTGTAGGTATTTTCAATTTCCAGCTTTTGCTTTTTTCTACTCGTTAAATCGCATTAATTTGTTCTGCCTGCTCAATGTTTACCTTTTACCACTTGTACCAATAAATCATTCGATAGTATTCTACTACTAAATGACGCGTATTTAAAAAAACTTGGTTACGCCTTGAGCTATAGTAACGAGTATAAAATAATAACAATTATTATTACAATTTCCATATTTGAAAGTACTATACGAAAAAAAAAGTTCTGGCCTTTTTTCCTTTATTGTTTCTTTCTAAGGTAAGATAAGGTAAGGTAAAGATTCTTTGATTGAACATCAAAGAGATATTTAGTGATGTCATTTATGCTTGGATTTCTTCTTCTTCTTTGACTGCTTACTTCTACTCTTTGATTTTTTCGATTTCTTCTTATGTTTCTCTTCGTCGCTGCTGCTATCGGACGAATCAGAGTAAGTGTCCGAGTCTGAACTGCTGTCCTTCTTGGCAGATTTCTTCTTTTTATGCTTTTTATGCTTCTTTCTTTTCTTCTTGTGCGACTCGTCACTGCTATCCGAATCGGAGCTTGTAGTGTCGGAACTGCTGGAAGTGTCCTCGCTGCTACTTGACTTGGATCGTTTTTTCAAAGATTTGATTTCCATCTCTTTGTCCACTTCCGTTTCGTCAAGCTTCAATTTCTTCGCAGGTGACGGTTTTCCTTCCTCACCATCCGATTCCGAGTCCGAAGCCGAGTAGTCGGGTTCGAAGCTCGCCTCGTCGAGTATGCTGCGTTTGCGATCAGACACCAGTCTCGGATTCTTCCTTTGTTTCTTCGACGACTCTGCTAAAGACGGCTCAATATTCTCGTAACTGACTTTGGTCTCGTTACCATCCGATTTGTCCTTAGAAAGCACACTCTCCTTGTGCTTTTGCTTCTTCTCCTGATTTTTGTCCTTATCTTTCTTGTGCTTCTTCTCTTTGCGCTTTTTATGCTCCTTGGATTTACTCCTACTGCGATGCTCCTTTTTTCTCTTCTTTTCCTCCCGAGACTTCTTGTCACGTTTTTTCTCTTCTTCATCATCTTTCGACTTTAACAGGCCGATCTTGACTATTTCTGTTCTCTTAAATATGCAAGTCGAGGAGGGTGTCCTACCTCTGTGTTCGTGATCTCGTTCCTTATCGCGATCTTTATCCACGCGTTCTCCTTTGATGTCGCTTCTATTGGAACGAAAATCCATTCTGCAATCAATTCTATTCTCCCTGTCGGATTTCAACTCGCTTCCATGCCTGTCACCTCGGAAATCCGACCTCTCCTTTGGTCGATCGCCTCTATCCTTGTTGTCACGTTTTCTCTCTTCCAAGAACACTTTTCGTTCGCCGCTAGCAGTTAAGCCCAACGAAGAGGACTCTACGCGCCGCTCTAAAAGCGGAGGAGAGAGCCTCTTTTCCCTCCTGGGCGATCGACTTCTCGACTGATTCTCGTTTTTGACGTCACGCCTCTCCAGAAATCCCTTTATAGGACTAATTTTTCTCTCCTTGACATCTTCGATCTTCTCGCCGAGTCTCTCCTTCGCGGACAGCCTAGTCGGCGAGTAGGCTGTCTCTGGCACGGGTTTGAACTTGGTACGATCGAGCTTGGCTTTCTTCGCTGGCTCGGTGATCTCGACATTCCTCTCGTTTCTACCAACGTTGATCGTCACGTTGACGCTCTTTCGCGGCTCTCGATTGGATGCGGACTCCACCGTCTCCAGCACCTTAGGTTCGGGATTCTGATACAGTATCTTTCTGCTTTCGCTGATCTTTTTGATCTCGATCGGTCGGATCGCATTAATTGCTTTTTGGAATATGGCGTTCTCCGCACGCTTCAGTACCTCCGACGTAACCATTTTGATCGATTTCGGTTCATCATCTCTCGGTATTTTCTCCATCGGCGATCCACTCACGTTGTCATCGTCATCGTCATCATCATCGGGTTTTTCGATCGTATCATCCCTTTCCCATTTGGACAACTCGGGTATCGGTGCCAGAAACTCGTCTTTTTTCGGCGATTTTTCCGTTGACAGCATGATGGTAGCTTCCTTTGTCTCAGTCTGCGAATGTTCTGAAAGTAAAGAATACTTCTCCGTGATCACAGTGTTAATTTCTGTGTCATCTAATCCTCCGTAGAGGCTATCAATCGGTTTCATGTCCGACTTGAGTTCTGGAATCGGTTTAAAGTTTGGATTTGGTGGATTCGTGCCAAATTCCGTGCGATCTAACCGACCACTGCCAGGACTGGATTCGTTGAATTCCGGCGGTTCCGGATTCATCGCCAGAGATTTATCCTCGAATTCCTCTTTGATCGGTGTGATAGACACTTGGTTGGAAATACATTCGATCCTATTCTGTATATTGTCTTCCTCGTTACACGCCTTTATAGAGTCGGTTTTGTCGGGTGGCGAAGACGAAGTGTCATTATTTATTTTACTTTCAACTAGCAAATCGTCCGCCTCTGTCGTTTTAATTGTTAGATCGTCCTTTGCTACTTCTTTCTGATTAGATTTCTTGTCTTTCTTCTTCTTCTTCTTTTTTTCTTTCTCATCACTATCTTTCTTTTTCTTCTTTTCCTTTATCTTTTTCTCTTTTTTCTTCTCTTCTACTTTTTCCTCATGATCCTTTTCTTTCTTCTTCGCATTTCGTTCAGGAGACAAATCTTTAGGATCGCCCCTAGATTTCTGCGAGTATGGACTTAAGCTTTTCCTACTCTTTTTCCGCTCCATCGAACGTCTCTCGTATCGTTCGTGACGATCTCTGTCTTTCTCGGTTTCGTATTCGCGTTCGCGTCTCTCCTTCTCTCGCAGCCGATTCTTATCATCTTGCCGATGGCGATCTCGATCATCTCTATAACTGCAATAATAGATAAAGATATAAATGACATCAGATAAATGATTTCCGACATATTAATAAATTAACTGATCTTTTTTTTAGCACGGAATTTTAAATAACAAATATGTGTTAAAATTTTTATTATACATATTGATTCTTGCTAACGTACTAAATAACTTTAATTTAATTTCATGATTCTTTAATTTGATTGATGCAGAACATACCGATCTTTGTCGTAATCTTTCTTCTCGATATGCCTGTCATCATCTCGACGATCGCGAATGTGTCTATCATCTCGTTCCTTCTCCTTTTCTCTTCTGTCGCGTTCGTCTTTCTCTCGTATTCTATCTTCGTGTTCTCTAGATGGGACCTGCCTATCACGATCCTCGCGATCTCTATTTATGATTCTGCGATCTCTGTCATCCCTCTCGCGTATACGATCCTCACGTTCGCGACCTCTTTGAAACACAAAATACAATACATCACAAATATAGTCCTTTGTAATACGATAATTTCTTTTACAAAATGTAAAATAATTCAACAAAGGATAACGGTGTGTAAATAAATTCATTCATTAATACAATAATAATATAATATACGTTTCGACTCTTTGTTCGGGTCCTCTTCAGTACATTAATAATAAAAAAATTAACTGTCTAATATATACAATAATAAAGACGTGATATAAGTACGCTATCGAATTAATTGCTAATTAGTCTTACAATATCTTTAATCTAAAGACCAAAAATATAAACACGCAAATTGATGAATTGTTGTTAATAAATTATTATTGTGTTAACATTCTCAAATATATTAATCCATAGATAGATCGATACCAAATTGGCAGATTTATTATACAAGAAACAATGTATGTCAATTATATAAAATTTAAGTAAAAAATAATGAAAGAAACTTACATGTAAAAGTTGTATGGAATATATTTGAGGTTCTGTCTGTTCGAGAGCTAAGAATCGAATGATACAATAAATAAATGTTGACCTAACAAGAAGCATTGAAGAGAAGGGAGGCATCAAGTCATAATAAATAAAAATATTCAGTATCTAAACGCTTCATGTCCATTTTTGTAAATTCAATCCGTAAGTCTATTTTTGTGTATTATTTCCGATATTAGAGAAGATGGAGGTAGTAGTGAGTCTAGTTGATAAGGTTCTTTTTTATCCTATCCTAGGATATTTCCATAACAAAAACTTCGGTAAAATTATAAAAATCCTATTAAATAATGGATATCCATTAAAATTATCATTGACACTATCAGAAAAAGGTTGCATACAAAATTTGATCAGATTAATAGAAGTTTCCATAATTTGAATAACTTCAACGCGGATAATAAAAACATTAAAGAGTTAAACGTAGGTATTTTACCGTATCATTCTTACCCAAGATTTCGGAGAAAATAAAAAAATTTTTTAAGAAAGATCCTACTATTAGTTTGGTATATATTGCCATCAACAAGCTAAGTAAGTTTATTAAAATTCCGAAGGATGAGCTTCCTACATTGTCGCGCACTAACGTAGTTTATAAAATTAACTGCATGGAATGTAATGCGACTTATATG